GGGAGTGATATCGAAGCTTAAAAAGCCTAATAGGTTGATAGTATTTTTCTAGTTTCTAATAATTTATTGTATCTAAACTGAATTAGTGAGTTCCTATGAATGTGGTGGTATTGCAATGAATTTAATTATACTGAGAAAAGAGATGAAATAATAATAAAAACGGATGATAAAGATGAGGATGAGAAGAATGATTTTGATAGATTAATTGGTTTATATTAGATGAAAGGGAAGTGGGAAGAGAATGAAGAAGAATGATTAAGTTTTTGGAAGAAGATGATAAAGATGAAGGAGAAGTTGGAGTCGAAGGTGTTAGTCTATTTTTCTATCCCATGTATTCCAATCACGTTTTCAGATATTTTCACTTTTTCATCTTCATCTTCTCCATCATCATCATCATCAGCATCATCTTCTTATTGAAGGTGATGGAGAGATGGTAAAGATTTTTTTTCCAAGTTCATCTGAGTGTAGAAAAAAAAAGTTCTACATTTCCAACTCGAAATTTTCTCCTCTCTTATTGCCCTTAAACTTTTGAGGTTTTATTTTTTCTTCTTCAGATTTATTCCAACTTTTTCGATGCTAAGAACTTTCTCCCCCTCATCATCTCCCTCGAATATGTCAAGAATATTTCAAAAGATCTGAAAGGAGTCAAGAGGGTGTTGATGATAAGAAAGTGGGAGAGATTTTTTTTTCTCTCCAAAATTTCATCTTCATCCTGATTCTATTTCCTTATCAGCTTACACCTTGAATTTGTACTCTAAAAGCCCTCACCCAATATTCAAATTTATCTCATCCCCTGGAATACCCTGAATATGAAAAAAAAGCTTTTTCTTCATTCATATGTACCTTTTTTCATCCTTATCATCACCATCTCTTCAAGTTATATGTATGATTATTCAACATTTTCACCTTATCATCAATCTTATCACCAACAGATTTACCTTTGAAACTTTTTCCCACTCTCATCATTATCATCTTCATGTCTCACATCATCTTTTTCCTTGTATCATTTACTTTCAATCATCATCCTCATCAATAAGATAAACTATTAGTCAACACAGTGAATGAGATAATAAATGAAAAAAAAAATCAGGCTCAAGATAAACTCAGATCAACACGATGAGAATGATGAAAATGAATCTCATCTGAATAATCTGAAATTCAACCATGCAAATAGTCATGAAAGTTTTCAATACATTTCTACATATATATAAGTTTCACTTGATCAACTCATGATCATCATGTAAACATAAACAGTCACACACTGGATCAGGAAGGAGGAGAAAAAAAATCATGAAAATACTCATGAATTCAGAATTATATTGTAATGATAAACTCACTTGTTGATAGAGTTAAAGTATTGGAATCAGAACTGCGAACATGATTCTGAAAATCTAGAGGGTTGCAACTGAATTGAAAGAGAAGTTCTGGAAAAAATGTTGGTGTAAGCTGAGTTTTCTCATGTACTATCATTTGGAAATATGATTGAATATCTATCATGAAATACTGAGAGTTTACATGATAGCGATCAACATGATTCTTATTTTGGTTATGATTTGTTTACTTATGAACAAAAGTAAACCAATTATTCAAATTGAATAAATTGTTAAGGTCAAGAGTTAGAAGTATTTAAAATACATGATGAACGTCATGAACTTTATCTCGACTGAATCGTTCATCATGTTGAATGTTTATATTAACATGATAAAGTTATGATTAAGATTGGAAACTGATCATATGCAAAGGGATAAGAAAAGACGAATTGTCAGCAGAAATTGAAATGTTCATCAGTCATCATCATGATTATGGGAAAAAAGTGTAAAAAAAATAAGTGAGAGAGGAAACTTAAAAGTTCTGTGTAAAAAAAAGTTCCAAGATACTCAAAGAGGTTGGTAAATTAATCCATGGGTTTTTCAAGTTAAGTCTCACTCTCTTTCCAAGTGATGGATTACTGATTTATTTCCTAGTCTATACTTGGAATCATGTATTTCATTGATTCAGTTTAACCTCTGGAACTTACATGATGCTTTTTACCCTGAACACTTTTACTTCTCTTCCTCGTCATCATCTTCCTCTACAAGACTTTTTCACAATGAAACTTGTATTAGCCCATTATCATTATCATCACAAGAGTTACTGAACTTTATTTACAAGAAGAGAGAGAGAGAAAATAACATGATAACGATAGAAACGCTATTATATTGATGAACTTAAATTGTTCCAATCACATGTTAATCTTGTTTCTTGTAAGTTGAGATTTGTACGAGTAAATATCTCATGATATTCATGAGAAATGATTACTTTTCAGGGTTGAAAAAGTTACAACGAAAATGATTCAGTCTGAATGACACTTGGAATTAGAATCCAGGTAATAATAGAAAAATAAAATTATTAATCAGCTGTAAGATGGATGAAATTGTTTTCTTTTTCAGTTTGTAATAGAAAATTCTTGAGCATATCTTCATTATCGCTTTGAATTCCCTGGTTATATTTATATTCAAGAATACTCTGAGTTTGTATCTCTTTCCAGAAACAAGCAAACTGGAAAAAAAGCCATTTGCTTTTCAGTGGTAACCAAAAGCTCAAAATGAAAGGAAAAGTAATGAGAGTGATGAAGACAAAGAGGAAAAATCGAAAAGTTTTCTTCAGAAAATCAGATATTTCAACAGTTCGTAACTCTTAACTCATGAACGATAAAATGTCATGATGTATCTCCCATGTGAATCTCATGTTGTTACAACTTGTCTTTTAATTGTTTCCAAATGTATATAAACTTTTCCTTACCTGACAAGATCCAAGGGTTTGAATCTTGTTTTCTTTGAACTTTTCTTGTTCACTGATTATCATGATTACATGAGTAACCCAAATATACAAACATTCACATCTTAATTGTCACCTAATTGACATTTAAATCAGATTAAGTAAACTCACACTAAACCAGTAAAGTTAATTTACTTGATGAACGTAATCAACTAGTAATCAAGTTAATTTTATAAACACAAAAGGTAAATTTACCTATCAAACCAATAGCATGGTGAACCTTTCACCTGAATCAATGAACAAGATATTTATTATATGTCACAAACAGTTAACAAGAATATGAATAAACTGAAATGTTATGATAAAACTGTTGAATTGAAAATAATAATCATAAAATCAATTGAAATAATCAATTTTTCAATCAAGTTACATATTCAATTTTAAGGTGTAAAGTTTTCACTACAAGTTTCATGTTACCATGAATACAATTCAATCTGATAGTTTCAATGTTTTGTTGTTGGTGATTTTTTTTTGTTGGTTTGTATTAGTAAAAAAACAACATAAGCAAACAAACAAACAAAAGGATGATGTTGATGATGAGGATGAAGATGAAAAAATATCAATATCAACATCCATATATTGACACATGGACTAAACAATTGAATGATTCTTGGCATTGGATAAATCAATAAGATGAATTACTTTGGTGTTAGATTGATGGTCTTATGTAGTTTTTACGTTTTTTTTTCTTAATCTTAACTTTTTTCTTCATTCTCTCTCTCTCTCTTTTCATCTTCATTTTCTTCATTCTCTTCCTCTGTCTATCAAATACCTCACTAGTCTCTCTCTCTCTCCCACCACCAATGTCTATTTACCACTGCCTCATTTCAGCCTCTTCTCTCTCTGGAAGAGTAAACAATTTTCCACTTCCTTGAACCTCTTTTTGTTATTTGGAAGAAAAATATTCTCATTCCCCTGAATTCTTTGGATCATCTGATTTTCTTTTTTTCTATCACCATTATCATCATGAAGCTCTTATATTTACTGAATAATCTACCGCAAGATTATCAAAAGTGATGACGAAAAGTTTTGTCTTTTTTTCTGTCAACTTTTCCGCCTGTTCATGTTCACTTTTTGTTCAGAAGATTTTTCTTCATATTGAATCAGCTCTCTGATGTTTTCTCTCTCTCTCTCTCTCTCTCTCTCTCTCTCTCTCACAAACACTTCTTGTTATCATGTTAACTCTCTGTGGATAATTATTCATGATGTTCAGAATAGTTATTCTCATGGTATGTGTTTGATTCATACACTTTATATGGTGAATGTTTCCTTGATAAATTGAGTATTTCCACTTTCAAGAAGATGAAAACTATCATCATGTTCATCGGATTTTTCAGATGAAATTTCATTGCAATTCTTGAAAACATGTAACCCAACAAAATTCAAAATTATTCAAATTGAAGTTCCAAGTTTCAGTTATTGAGCAAATTTACAAATTCTGATAATGAACATGATCATGAGAAGTTGCTATGAATTGAAGTTACATTAAACAGTCTGTGATATTGTATAATGGACAATCATGAGCACACAAATGACCAGTGGACATGATAGTTTTTTTCCTTGTATATAGATTGAGGATAAAATGATTTTTCGAGACAAAAAAAGTATGAGAACAAGAAAAAAAAAGGTCAAATAAGACGGAAAATGATTAGGATCATGAAGGTTCTGATGATTCTGATGATGATGATGTTACCGATGCCTCAAGGGAATCATTATGAAAACTTGTGTGAATCAAAGGGAGAAATAAAAATAATAATATAATGATAAACATCCGGAAGCACTTTGATCATTATTATTATCATAATCAAGACAGAATAGAAACTGAATACTTCATGGTAACGGATGAAAATTGCTGAGAAATACATATAAACACTCACCCTGACAAGAATATACATTTACTCCTATTGTCCTCGCCTTAGGCTATTTTCCCAATTCAATGTTAATCTGATAGAGAAAATGATGGAAACTTTTCTCATACCATGGAAATATAAAGACAATGTGCTATCATAAAGAGATAAAGACAATTTTCTGTCAGAATTATGAATAAAACTTTTATTAATATTCGTTTGTTTATTTCTTATTCTTCTCTTATTCGAAAATTAAATCAGTTCGAAACTTTTATTAAAAGATATTCTTTCTCATTATTCTCGATTTTGACTGTTTTTCTTTGAATCTCTTTACAGTTTCACCCAAAATTCGTGCAGTCCAGTTGAGCGTTGGAGCGGTAAAAGGTTCTCATGTTGACCTTCAGTGTGAAATTGAAGCTTCACCTCGACCTTTGACCAGTTGGATACGAAAAGATGTGATACTTTTACCTTCCAATAAATATAAAATAATCGAAACGTTCAATGGATATAATATAACCATGAAATTGAGGATTAACGATTTAGAGGATAAAGATTTTGCTGCTTACATTTGTGTTGCCAAAAATCCATTAGGTGAACGAGAGGGTCGCCTAAGGGTATATGGTAAGTTGATTGATAACAATGTTACAACTATTAAATTGATTAGATTAAAAAGATTAATCAACTTAGATTGTAATTAAAAGAGAACCTGAAATTAATCGTGATTCATTGAACTGAATTGATTTAATTTAGTAGAAATCATTTCACTAAATATCAAGTATCTTTTTTATATCTGGTCAGAATGAACTTTACTCAGCTACATGAATATTATTTTCCCCATGAAATTGTAAGGGAATGATAAATATTAGTTTTCTCCCCGCAAACAATTTAACAGATTATTCAGAAATCCTATTAAATTGAATTTAATGAGGCTTAACCAGGAATTAGTTACATTAATGATTCTAATCATGCTAATCAATTTTACATCTCCTTACATACACATTATATTTATTTATCTATGGAATTCATGATTCACTGAGTATTTATAATGAACAATGAACTTCCATAGAAAGGATAATTTTCAATGAGATTTTATTTCCATCAGAATCTCAATGGTTTTAAACTGTTCAAGTTTCTTTCCATTGAAATGTATCAAAAGTTAATACAATTAGTTGAGAGAAAAACGATCTTCATCATTGATTTTTTTTGCGAAGAAAATTCAGTCAATAATATTTACTGTTAATTATTCTCATTTCATGAGAAATTATCATGATAATTATGCAATTATCTTCCATTTATTTGCTTTCTCTTACAGATATTCCTGCACCCACAACCGCCTTCTCAGTGCCTGTTAAATCAACATCTTCCACTCATAAACCACCAAAGAAAGTTTTCACCGGTGAGAGAGAATTTTTTTTTTCTCCAAAACCAACTAATTATCTTTTCCATGATAAAATAATCACAACAAGTCATGATAATCATTTCCATCCAATTTACCATTGGAACTTTACCTTTAGAAAATTTTTCTTTCCATTTGAACACAAATTTCAACTTATTGGTAACCGAATCTCTCATTTGATTGATTGTTTTTACCTCTACAAAAATGATTAATTAACTTAGAGATTATAATTAGAAATTTTCTCTTGATAATGATTAACTTAAATAATTATAGTTTCGATCAAAAACTCGAAAAAGTTCAAGTATTTCGAAAAGTTGTAAGATATTATCTTTAATATAAGAAGAGAATTTTTTCCCAAAGTTTATTTTCATCTTTCATTTATTATCGATCAATTCTGAGCTTTTGGTCAGTAAGTAATTTCTCAGTGTTATTGGTGGTCATCTAATCAATTTGCTGCCCTTTTGTTTTTCCATGAAGATGATAATGAACAAGTTCGATATGAATTGAGTAATCTATTAATACTAATGAATAGAACGTGAAATTAAGGTTAATGCGGAAATAATGTTGATTATAATCAGAATATGAGGTGGCCACGTTTCAATAATAATTCTGAGGTTGAGTGAAATTCATTTGCTTTCAATAGAATCTCAATCAGAAATTATAATCATTATGATGATGATAATGATGATTACCTATTATCGTTATTATTGTAATATTTTCATGGTAAAAACAATTGCAAAAGAATAACAAAAATACTGAATACTGAACAAGAAAAGTTTCAGAAGTTTTCTCTATTCCTTTACTTACATGATAAAAGTTTATGTTACTAGTTTTTTTCTTCCTGTTCCATCATGAATAAGATATTATCATGAATCAATTTGATTCTTAGGAATTTTTTATACTTTTCTATTCAATCTAGTACATCTGATAGTATGACAATGAATATGTTTATCATCATCATCATCATCTCGCCATTGTTGTTGAGTTATCATGATTCTTACTGAACAATTACTTATGAATTGTTTATTTACCAAGAATAGATTTGTTTCCATGTTGTTCAGGTTTTCATGATAATCTATGACAAAAGGCATGAGCTGATCATGATAAAGATGATGGTGATAAGTCCTTTTGCAAGAGGATAAAGGATAATCTTTCTTCCAGGGGGAAAAAATGATGATAAGAAACAAAAAATATATAAGATTATGAGTTGAGCTTTTCTCAGTTCCATCTAATGATCATTATAATCAACAGAATCAATAACATGATGATGATGAAATGCACATCGTTACAATTGTCATTCGTCGCCTTGATACTTGTAAGATTGGAATCCAACTAATCTATTCAACTCTCATAGATTAATGTGCTTCATTTGATTGATTTGATTGAATTAGTGATTATTATTATCATGGTGAACATTTTGTATTGAAACTAAGCGATTGTGCTAATATTGTTTGTGGTTTCATCACAGTTAGCACTCCAACCGTTATTAGCACTGGTTACAATAGGAAAGATGAGAAGAAGAAATCAAATAACATGAAAGAACTGAATCAAAGAAGTGAGTATCAAACATGAAATATTCCAAGAAAAAGTTCTGATAAAATTTTTCTTCAACTAATTTTCTTCTATTCTTTTTCCTCATTCTCATTACTTTACATGTTTACCAGCAATATCATCACCGATTCCACCACCACCAGTACCACCGTCTATACAATCATCTTCATCTTCTTCTCCATCTTCTGCTCCATCATTATCATCTATTCAATCTTATCCTGAATCATTATTTCTCTTTATCCTCATCCTATATCAACTTTCATGAGAATCTATTATCCTAACCTCATCCTTTTACCATGTTACTCAATCGATATCATGTATCTAAATATTTACAGATCTAATGTTCAAATCCCATTTACTGACCACTAACAATAGATTTTTTTTTCCATGATAATAATAAATAACGAAACACTTTCCAACAAGAGACGAGTTTTCATATTTTCATGATGAGCCAACAACATGATAGGCAAATGATAATTTAATGTTGCTGGTGCTAAATAATATAAGAAAATTTATTGATTTCTTTACTTTTCGTCAACAAACTTCAGATTAATTTAATGAAATTTATCTGCACTCAATCAAAAAATTATGAAATTTTCTGAATTCTCGAAACTTTATTTCATTTCCTCATCTTCATAATAAATACTGAAAGTATTGAATAAATTTCCTCTTCTCATACTGACCTAATGGTACTTATCCAGCCTATTAATCTTCATGTGAATACTTTAACTCTTTTAATACAAAGCGTTTACGCTAATTAAGACCAAAGATTAAGATTAAGATTAAGAAAATAGCTAAAAAATTAAGACTGTCTTGAATAACTCTCTTGAATACTTCGGCCCTGGACATGAGACTAATCACAATAAGGTCACTTTACGCTAGGAGCTTAAGGTCTAAGGTAAAATAATCTATGCTAAATCAAGTTTTTTCAAATAAAAACCTTTTTTCTGAATAGGCTATCGGTGAGTAGCAAAAAAAGTTATACAGTCCTTGAACTTATGCCGAGGACTGTATTTGTATAATTGACATAACCATCATTTGATTTGATGATGACCCATAGTAATAATGATGGCTATCATGAGGGAAAATAACCACTTTCATGATGCATCTCACTTCACATGATTTAACACCTTATTTATTATTATCAACTCGAAAGGAGCAGAATAATGTTGAGGCCACAAACATGGAAGAATGAAAAATTTCAATTCACTTTATATTATCAACATGGTCATCTATCAAATATACATAATAGTAGTTCAAAGTAATAAATATAAAATTGGTATTTATGTTCAGTTAATGTTTACCTTATGTTGTTAATGGTAACAAATACAAATTGATTGTAAAGGTTAATCAGATTCATTTTTGGATAAGTATTGAATTGTTGGAATGAAACTACTCATTGGATGTTCATGATGATGATGGTGAAAAAAAAAGATGATCGCTTTGAAAGGAATGAGAGAAATTCTTGCCAATATCCTGATAAGAATATATATAAGAAATTTATTCATTTTCATTCCATTCAGAAAGTTATCTTCAATTCCTCATCTCTATTATTAGATAGAATTGTTAATAAAGAGACAGATAACCAGCCAACTTTTATCATCTTCCTTTTCCTCCTACAACTTCCTCATCTTCTTCCTCCTCTCTACTATCTATTTACCTCTAATTTTCATCTTTCATTTTACCTTCAACATCATATTCCAATAATCAAACCACCACCACAACTATTATCATCTCTTCATGATGTATTGATCAGATTCACCTCATCATCAGCATCATCTTCCAATATGAAATTGATTTCAATTACTGAGATTCGTTTGAATTTTTTTTTCTATCTCATCTTCATCCCTTGAATCTCAAATAATATTGCTCATGATGATGACGAGCAGAGTTGATAAATACACTGAGAAATTTCAATCAAACCGAAATGATTGTTCAGTGCTGAATATAATCTATGCTATATATATTTTTTCCTCTTGAAAGAAAATACAAAACTTTCTGATAATCTCAATGATCTCATGATGAATTGATTGTGAACAAATCAGCACCAATTCTGCCTGTGGTTAAGTCTTAAACTGAATCAAAACTGACAGTTTTACAGAATCAACCAAAAGATTTTGAAACTTTTGCCGATGAAGAAAATCTGATCCATGATAATAGACAAGATTTCATGAGATAAACAATGAAATCAAGAAAAACAAAAGGTAATTTAAGTAATTTGAAAAGTTCTGAACCAAATCAAATAAATGAAGTGAAATTATCATGATTAAGTTGATGCACTTTCTAATTGGATAGTTATTCATTCAGGATTATCATTTTGCACCCACCATGTTATCAACATTATCTCAAGTATTATTGACACAAGTAACTGTTTAAAATTTAAATTAAACTTGACAAGAGTTTTATTATTTGCTGATTACTTGGTAATTCAGTTTGATTTAAGTTGAGTGTGTCAAATAACACAGATCTTTGATTAATTTGATTATCATTATAATAATAATATAATAACAAAGATCATGTCAGATTTGTCTGAGTTTAATTTACCTTGAACAAAGATTTGTGAATCCAGAATAAGTTCACACTTTCCCATGTAGTTTTCAGGGTGTTTTTTTCAACTACATTAAAATGGATGTAATCAAATTCCAAGAGTCTATTTATCTAACATATATCACTGAATTTCATGTCAATTCTCCTCTTCCATGATAATAATATTGGAATCGTATTTGTCTTAGAGTTTAACTTTTCTCTCTCTCTCTCTCACATACACTTTCTTCATTCTTGTTCTACCTCAGTTATCATGATATTGCTCATGATCATGTTCTGAACTTCTTGTTTTGACATGAATCTTTTTGATCAATGGTTAAAAACACTCAAAGTAACATTATTATCATTTGATTTGTTGTTAGATTTTTATCCTGGCTTTTTCTTGCTGTTCAGTCTTCATGATAACGATAACAATGACTGAGGAAACATAATTGGAACAGATTGTCAGGTATATATATATATAATACCATTCTGGGCTTGGTATTGATGTTTATTTGTTATATTGACCAACAACAAGAAGATGACCAAGGTCCAGTTATCATTGTTTAGTTGATAAAAGATTAACTGGATGACATGGATTACATGGAATCAGATAGTGTCAAATTTATCTCTCTATTAATGTAATAATAATAATACAGAAATAGACTGGGAGATGTTGTGATGATCATCGATGAAATTTCACCAATAGATTTTTCCTCGATATTCATGAACTTTTCATGAAAATTTACTGCAAAAAAAGTGATAGATTTTGTATTCTCACTTATTAGTATTCACAATTTACTCTCAACACCAATTACGATTCACTTTTCTACACCAATGAATAATCAATGAGAACGAGAAAATTGTTGTGTTCTAATTGTGATAATCGGTGAACTTGTTTTCAGATAATTTCTCGCCAATGTTCAGATAATTGTGATAATAACGATAAAGTTTCATGTTACTTTTTTTCATGAGTCTATTTTCGGGTTTCAAATAGTTTTTTAATCTAATAAAAAAGTAACACCGAGTAAAATAACTGAACTTTTTTTCCAATTTCAAGTAATTGTTGTGTTTTCTTTTCTGTTTAACAGTTTGAATTATCTCAAATGTAGGAATAGGTTGAGAAAATTAAGAAAACTTGGAATTGATTGAAAAACTTTTGTTCTATCATGATGGTCTGAACATTAACAGAACTCATTCAAACTCAAGTTTTATCCTTTTTTTTGCAGAAAATTATGACATTTTCAGCACTCGAATGTTCAATTCGCTATGTACTATAAGTATAAGTAACAGATCTCAACGTTTTGTCTTTGAAAAGAGATTAACTTTTTCCATTACACTGAATTACTTTTTATGAAACAATTAACAATTTCTTTTCTGATAATTAACTGCTATCAAAAAAAGTTCATCTGAAGACTAAAGCAAAGGTGAGTCTCTGAATCTTCAAAAGATAGTAGATTCCTGGAACTGATCAAATTGAGATACACCGAATCAAAGCAATTGTAACAAATATGAATTCATTTATGTTCATAAACGCTCAATGGGTCAAAAGCTCTCGATTACATCAGTAGTACATATAAAGAAACCAACAGAGATCAAGGTGAATTCTGAAAACTTATCACCATCAGGGATTAGTTTGGAAAGTTATCAGGAAAAAAAAAAAGGTCATTTCTAACTAGGAATCAATGTATTCCAAGCAAAGTAAAATTGAACTGAACAGATTGAAATGAATAATATTCAGAGAATGATAATAATAGTTTCAAAGCTAAAGGGAATTGGATTTCAAAGAAAATGAATTTTCTTCATGAGACATTTTCTTTTCCTCATTTCTTCTGATACCAGGAAATATGATGATTATTGATATTGTTCTAGAACTGATATTGGTATTTAGCGAATGATTTATTGGTCATTTATGTTTTTCGATAATAGTTTTTGAGTTACAGTCAAAGAAATTGATATATGCTTTAAATTATCATAAATCGACACCATGGACACTTAATATTATCGAAAGTTGGTGCTTGTTGGAACTCTTTCCAATAGCTATTAGATTCAGATCATCAGATGGCGATATTTTTATCGAGATAAATGTTTATCATTTTCCAATGAAAGATCGAACCTCTGATAATGATCAATTGTTGTAGAAAATTAAGGAAAAATTGACATTGAATTGAAATCTATGAGAGGTCAATCATCACCAAGGAACAGGAACAACGGCCTGTCTCTTGATTCCCCTCTAGTTTTTCAGTCTTTTTTTTTCAATAAACATTTCGAGCGAAAAGATGAAAAATATAATATCTCGTAAGGGGGAAATACTAGAGTTAAATAAGAGAGTGGGTATGAAAAGCGGGATTATGATGATGATTAAGATGATATTCAACTGATAGAACAACAAATTGTCCATCAAAGTGGGTTGAAGGTTTTTTCCTTGTTTCCTTTTCCTCCTTCATCATCTTTCACCATCAACAGCTTGGTGTAAAAGCTCAGCCTTTAGCTAATCATTTATATTTGATGCTATTATTTTGATTATGATTACAAGGTATTGATATTGTTCATCTTGTTGTTGTTGTTAAAATAACAACAACAGGGAGGGAAAATGAGGAAACTTTTACATTCTTGTTATTTCATCCACTTTGCTTTTCATTCCCACTCACCCACTTTCTCTCTCTCTCTCTCTCTCTCTCTCTCTCTCTCTCTCTCTCTCTCTCTCTCTCTCTCTCTGTTGATCTTTTCACCCACCCTGATGATAACCTTGAGAAAAAAAGTATCATCAATAACATGATGGGTGCAGAAAAAGAAGAGGTTGATAAAAAAGTAGAAAATAATATAAATTACATTCTTCCACCTATTCTACCCACCGCCACTTTCCACCCTCTCCTCATCTTCCTCTTCCTTTTCTGCCCTTGAGTAGTTCATGTTAATGTTATCATGTATTATATTATCTTCTTTTGCTTCTCTCATCATCATCATCTTTTCACCTCTTATTAAGGTCTCTTATCATCTTCCATAATCAGATCAATATCAAGAAAGAAATAAAAGAGGAAGAGGAAAAGATGATGATGATGATTAGGGAAGATGAGGCAAAAGTGGCAGTGGGAGTGGGAAAAGAGGTAAAAGTTTCCATTATTATCAATTTTAATTCATTTTCCCTCCTTACCATGTTTACCACTCTCTCTTTTCAATGTTGCCCCTTCCTAGAAGGTGATAATTCAACTAAGGAATGACAAAAACTTTGATACGATTAACTTTAATTATCCATTAGAAATGGAAACAATTTAAATTATATCGTGAGAATTGATATTGAATTTATGTTCAATTGATTATCTTAACAATTTGAATTAATCCAATGTAATAATTGATTAGGGGAGAAACTAATCATCATTAGGTAGATAATCAGTTAATTGTTATCGAAATTGAATTTTTTTTCTGCTAAAATGATTAACTATTATCAACACTTTTGACTGTCAATTTAATGATAATGATTAAAAGTTAATCTGATTAACCTTAAACAATGTTGTTAATGACAACAATGATTAAGTTAATTAACAACAGCAAAAAAAAATAGGTAATTGAATATGTTAATTATCATTTAATTGTATTGATTAAATACAAGAAAAAAAGTCAAGTTAAAATTGATTAGCATGAAATTTTTTTTAATTAATTAATCAACTAACCATAATGTAAAGCTTTGCAAGGATCATTCATCTTGTTAATTGTTAATTATCATGATAATCATAATTATTATTGATTTAAATTGAGTATTCAATCATTAATTGATTTAATTATGTGTTAGTCCAGCAATTAAAAGTTAATAGTTAAAGTTTATAATGATTATTGTTAATAAAAAATTAAAATCACAATCATAAATGTTTAATTCAACTATATCACAATCAATTTAACTAATGATAAATAATCTTAATTGTTACCATTTTAAATGGTCAAGTTGATTGACCAACAACAACAACAATCAACTTAATCATCCTGATACAAGTTAGTATCAAGTTTTGTAATTAGTTTAATGAATTAAGTGTAGCAATTAAGGTAAAACAATTTCAGGTAGGAAAAGGTAACCTTAAATTAATCACCATTGTAAAACTAATTAGTAATTAATTGTAGACGTTGTAAGTTGATTGGATCAACTAAATTGATTATGATTAATATGTTGGTACCTTTGTATTTCCCAAATAGATTGCGTTTCTTAAATTGTTATTACCTTGATTACAATTACATTGATTATTATTAATGTTTCAATGAGAAACAAAAAAAACAGTTACCAACAATCAAATGTAATCATAATCATCATGCAAAAAACAATTTAATATATTAAATTGTAAAAGTAATTGTAAGAACCAGGTTTAAATTGTTAGTCTCTTATAATACATCAGATTAATCATAATAATAGGTTAAATCATCTGAAACAATTTAACAATTATCATTATTTAATTCATATTAATAGTAATCAGTGAAAATATTGATTGAAACAAAAATGATTTAGTGATAAATTGTTATGATTAAACAATTAGAGACATTGTTATATTTACCATTGAGATAGAGATTTTAATAAATCAAATGAGGGAAAAAGTTAATTCAGTTTTTGCCAATCCAATTGATTGTTGATCATTTTGAGAGAGGAACGAAAAATTTTCATTGATTATTAATCAATTGTGGTAATAATTATTGTTTTTCCAACACTTTCAATCAGCTAATCTACTGATTGTCCAGTTAATTGTTAGTTAATCTAGAAAAGGTAATAAAAAAATCACAAAATAAATTCAGTTGATATAATTAAAGTAAGAATGAAATATTTAAACAATAAACAAAAGTCACGCTATCACAATTAATATCCTAATCATTATCAACACATCATCTTTTGTCATCACAATTATGGTCAAGAATATAATGATTGTCCGGCCAAGAGTTTATATCATATAAAAAAAAAGCTTTTATCAAGTTACTTTCTGGTTGACCTGTCATGAGAAATGTTGGTTTCCTATTGCAATTCATTATTTGATTGTCCATTATATTGTTGGGTCCATGGGTCCATTGGTGGTGATGGTGACAATTTAGGGTTTTCACCAAGATTCATTGGTTAATTGTAAATGAAAATGATGATAATTGAGATGGTTCATTATTTGATAACTATTTGGGTCTTCAATCACAATTGTATTCAAGATACAATACTCATTTATATGAGAGATACTCTGTTTACCAACAACAATCAACCTCATTGATTATGCATAACATTATTAACCAACACATCAAATGTAATCAACGAGTGTACATATTACATGTAATAATATATTCTTGATATGAATCTACAATCATAATAAATGATAATCATCATCATCATCATCATCATCATAATACCAATTGTGTTTACATAATAATATTCATCAAAAAAAAAATGATGATCGATTTACAATCAGTAAATAGTTGATTGTTTACTTTCACTTCATTTTTACTATTAGAATAGTTTGATCGTATCAATTTGATTACTGATTGTCCATTCGTTTTGTTGGTTCAATTTTTAATTGCACGAGAATTGAGTCTATTAAATTAATCCTTTCCAATTTATTATGATGGTAATGGTGGTCATCTTGTGGTCATTTTTGTGCTTGTTTGTTTAATCTTCAATCACGTTTCTGTTAACTCAATCAAATGGGTTTTCTGTAAAGAGAGAAAAGTAAATAAATAAAATATTGTTAATCTAAATTGTTGGTGAATATGGAAAATAATTCAATCAAATTGATTTATCTTCTTTCTCACCATCATTCATATGAGTTGAATCAGTATTCATGATATATGTATACTTAGTATGAGAAAGAGTAAAATATTAATAATATCATGATGGAAATCTGATAATTATCTCAATTAACTTTGGCCCAAAGATCAATTGTTTCCAGTAATTAACATACCAAAATTATTAATTGTGTTGGAATGATGTTCTCAATGGTGCCTTAGTTAATAGGATGGAGACAAATCAGTTCACCATGGAAAGATTGATGATCATGATAATCTGTTCACAGTTAACAACTAATACATCAATTCAATTGTTGTCTATTTGCCTTCCAATTGAAAGACACACATAACTGTACATGGTAAATATTACATATTATTTTTTGTATTATGAATTTGTTATGTGAATAATAATGTTGACATTTTTTTCGTGGATCCAAAGTTTACCAAATCTTTAGGGTCATTTTTCACACATCTAAATGGTCAATGGAAAGACTTGGATTCTCTCTCAGTCAACCACCTCCTCTAATTAGAAGGAGAAAGATGGAGAGAGGAAGAGAGAATTTGCCAATGTGAATTATAAGGGAGTGAAAGTATCTATCGAAATTGTAGAAATATAATTGAAAGGAGAGAAAAGGGAAGATGAAGCATACAGAATTCGAAGACGTGAATTGCAATAGATTAATAGAGAGAAAGAGGGAGACTAACTGAGTGGTCAGTGTTTAGAGCTGGTCAAAATTAGATTAAAGGAAAGGAAGTCCAAGAGAAAGTTTCTCTTTTTCTCCATCTCTTTTCATAAGAAAGGAAACATGACCAGTATAAGAAATGGACTCGTACCGATTGATTGTTTTGAAAGGAATCAAGTACATCTACTGACCGTTACTTATAAATGACCACGATTTTTGTACCTTTAACTTTCAGCACTTTCGTGATAATCATGTCACCAAAACTATTTAAAGGTAAACAAAATATTGGTGCTAAAGGTTTTACAACATCAGTTCCAGGTAACAATCAAAAGATTCAAATGTCAATTTGTATAAAGAGTCAAGTGTAGTCCAGTTAGATCATCGATTGTTACAATTGGAAATCTGTATGAGAAGAAATAAAGTTGATCAGTTAATAAGAAACTTAAATATTGTGAGATTAAACCGATTGAACATAATCAATATGAGATGAAAAACATGATGAAAGGTGATGATAATAATGATGGATAAATATGACTGATATACTGATAGTTTTGTATAACCTCAATCATGATAAATACAAATAACGATAATCTTACAATCAAATATCAAGTTCACGTACACAACTACAATGGTTAATGTCATTTCCTATTAATACAATTATTTTTGATTATATTTTTATATTCTATTGAGAATTTATTTCTCTCTTCTTCTTTGTCATCATCATCATTATCATTATCATGATAGTTTTCATTTCAGATTGATAAGTTATCGTTGATATTGAATTGATTTCAATTTAGTAGCTGAGATCAATTTATGTTGTTTTCTTGTTTATCAATCAACTCATTAAGTTGATTTCTTTTCTTCATTCAAGTTTTCAAGGAATCAAAATTAACAGTAAATGAGACTAATTTGGTAAGGATTTTCTAATACCTCATAAAGTTAATATCCAATCATAATTGATAGAAATTTAATTTATCAGGTAACTCATTAAGATGATGATGTAATATTTACCTTGATTGGGAGTAATTAGTTGTTTCTGTTATCCAACAATTTACACTTTGCGCTATGTTTACATAAGTATCTTCTCAAAGTAACTGGATCATGTTTGTGTTGTTGATCAGGATGATAATGATGATGATGATTCTGAACACAATAAAAAGCGTAAAAAGATAACACTGAAAAGAGAGAGAGAGAGAGAAAAGGGAAAGAGTGATAATAGAGATGGTAAATATACTGTATATGGAAGATGAGAAAAAAAAATAGAAAAAAGGATGAGGAAGAAAAGGGAATGATGATGATGAAAGGAAGACAAAAAGACGAATAGATGAGAATAGAAGATAGGGAGACATTGTAAAAAAGAGTAGAAGGCGAAATCACAGTTATTTCCACATGATCTTTTGTTACGTTTTTTCTTTCATTTCTTTTCTCTCCATAAATGTTATTAGTTTATTGAGTTGATGGTCTTTTTCCGAGTTCGATTTTTTTTCATCTTCCAAAGAGAATGTGTGTATATATAAATAGTTGGTCTTTTTCTTCATCATATTCGTTGTCGTTTCCATCTTCTTGTTTTCTTTTGTTTGGATTCCATTGATTGTCTTCCTTTCTCTTCACAAGTTGGAAATGTTTGCATAAATATACATGAATCCTTGTCTCTTCCATTGAAATGATTATTGAATTTTGTAAATTTTGAATTCGTAATTGTATCAGATAAGATTAAATAGATTCATTGTTGTTCTCAAGTGAGGTTAATGTGAAATTGAAATTAACCCAAAGTTGACAATTTAACCACCAAAGGAAAATTCCACTTGAAATGATGATGATGAGCTAGTCTTCCTTTTCCTCCTCCTCTCCATCCTCTTTGTCTGCTACATGATGATCAGGATAATGATCATCATGATTTGAAATATTGACTTGAACATCACATGATAATAAGTGACAGTTATATTAAGTTTTACCATTTCCATCGTCTTGTGATTATTGTCTTCCAAAAAGAGTTGGTTACTTGTTAATCCGAATCCTTTTTTTTTGTCAGTGTGATTTTCATGATGATTAACGTTAAGATGATTAAACAGAATGTGTTAGTCCAATAGAGATCATTATCTGACCTTCAAATGGAATCCAGGATATGTATTATCATGAGTTTTAGATGAGAATAATGGGAGGAGGAGAGAAGATTGTTTTCTTCCTCTCTTTGTGGCTTTTGCATAGTTAATGGTGGTGAGAATAACGATTGAAGGAGCAAAGTGAGTACAGATTATCTTCCAGTTGATTTACCAACCATCCTTATTCATTGCCTTCAGCTAAAGTTGATTTAAATCATTTTGGATACATTCTGATTAGAATCAAGTGATGGACCATTAACCCTCTCCAATGTAAACATGGTGAATTCTATATATAATAGAGAGAAGAGAAAAAAAAGAAAAGAAAATCAAAAATCCAAATAAAACTCAATGGTAATTAAAAGCTATTAAAATTCACAAGAAAAACAATGAATCATTGGCAAGGGAAAACCAGATTAACTTTGATATGGAAGAAATTGTCTAGATAAAGAGATGGCCATCAATTAACCACAATGCAGAGATTAATGTTAGATTATTTTAAAATATAAACTAGATTAATTAAAATACTTAATTAATCCCTTTTGTTTGTAACAACAACAATAAAAATAAACCGGGAAAACGTTCAATCCAAAGTGCAAACAGCAAAAGAGGATTCACCAATCAATTACCAGGCCGATTTTCACAATCAATAAATTCCCTTCAATGGAGACATAAATTAATACTCACCAATTATCACCTTAAATCCGTAGGTCAATTAAAAACACAACAATTAACCCAAACGATCAACCAAAAGAAATTGAATCAAGACAAACAATCAATAATCCCAGAAAGAATCATTCAAATTACTATCATGTAAACCAAAGTATTCCAATTAGTTGACAAAACTACAAAATCATCACATTTTTCGAAAATTTGAATCAACTAAAATTAATTAGAGAAAATCTTGGAATATAAATTAAACTCTAATTAAAAACGAAACAATTTAGTTAAATTGACAAAAATTTAAAAAAGAAAAGAAAATATTTAAAGTTAAGAAAGGAACCAGAAGATGGCAGCACATTTGAGAAAAAGAATTAAAATCCGTTGAGATTTCGACCAATCAGAAGGAAGAATTTTTTGTTTCAAAAATTTTCGCTCTTTTTTTTGTTGTCACTTCTGTTTTATTGAATTTGAATTCAACCTTTTTCCTTAAAAATTAACCCGATTGTTTTTATCTTAATCAATGTGATTACTAATTAATTTGCTATTTTTATTAATTAATCTTTTTAATTGTAACAACAATCATCTCTGTGTTAACTTTATCTGGAACCATTTTTGTTGTGTCTTCATTAATTTTTCTGTTTTCTTATAAAGATTTTATTCCATTTTTTTCTCTTTGTGATTTTTGTGTTTGAACTTTGGGATTATTGTTACAAGAAAGGTGGAAGAAGATAAAAAATGCCTTCAACCAGTAGAAATGACAAAAGAAAAACTTTAAATAATTTTGCTCGTATTAATATGGGAAATGGATTCCATGATGAAATTATTGAAGAAAATTGTGACTTTAAAGAACATGAAAGTGAAACTGAGGATAGAGAAAAATTAATTGAATTTATCCGATGTAACCGTCGTGAGGAAAATAGTACCATTGATGATGATTCCAATCTTGGACAATTGTAAGTCTCTATCTTTCTCTCTCTCTCTTATCTTTAATTGCTCTTAATCTAAGCATTTTGTTCATGTTTTGTTTCTATCAGGGTGATGGAAAAAAGCCAAGAAGTTGTTGATAAATTTATGGAAACAATGTCATCCGTTGCTGAAAAATGGGCTTACCTTGGTTTAAGTAGAGTCTGTTTAGAGAAACGTCTTGATTCAATTTTAAATATGGTGGTTGATTTATATACTGATGCCGAGAAATGGGAAGATGAATTGGTTAGATATCTAATGCAAGAGAAGGATATTATGGAGAAAAACTTGAGAAATTTATCCAAAGATCTTAATCTACCTGATTATGAGCCACCTCAAGGTGGTAGATTTATGGATATGCTTAATGATATAATGGTTAGACATGAAGAACTTCAATTTATCAAGAAAGAGCGTGTTACCAAGTGGAGTGAATTTCTTAATCAGAAATTATCACTTTGTAAAACATTGGGTCTTTCAGAAGAGATGCCAAGATTATCTAATTCATTTATACCTTCAGAAAATGATATTCAAGGATTACAATCAAGTGTCATGGAATTGAAGAAAACTTATAACAAGAGGCAAAAGGTTTATATTGTTAACAAAAAATCTATCCTACAATTAGCTACTGAACTTGAAATGGATCGTGATTGTCGAGATATTGTCAAGTTTACTGGTCATGAAGAAACTTCTGTCATCTTATCTGAAAGTTTCATCAAGGAACAAGAATCTTATATGTGTCACCTACAAGAGGAATATGATGCCAATGAGAAGCGTAAGATTATGTTGGAAGAGCGATTAAATCAACTATGGGATAAATTGGAGATTGATGTTTATACCAGAAGACAAGAATTGAATGGTATCGTTGGATGGAAACCAAGTGAACTTGAAAAATTGAAACAATTGGTTGATAAATATGAAGAGATTAAGAAGCAAAATATGGGAAAATTTATTGATAAACTTCGATGTGAAATTCGTGAATATTGGAAAAAAATCTATGCCTCACCTGAAGAGGAAGAAGAATTTGATATTTATATGTGCGAAGAAGATTGTACCGAAGCTCTTCTAACCGCTCACGAGGATGAACTTGCTCGACTTAAGGGTCGTTACCATGAAAATCGTGAATTATTTGAATCACTGGACACATGGTTAGAGTGTTGGGTTAAATATTTGGATTTGGAGAAAAAGATGAACGATCCAAATAGATTTAACAATCGTGGTGGTGTTTTACTCAAACAGGAAAAGGAAAAGAAACGAACTCAAAAAGAACTAACCAAATGTGAAAAGGACATTCGATTGTTATCCGAAAAATGGTCAATAGACAATTTTGGTGCCCCTTTTCTGGTTGGTGGTCAACCTGTTTTAGAATTTATTGAATGTCAAAAGAATCATCATCAAGTAAGTGATAGTTTGCTAATTAATTATTACTTTTTTTGATCCAATTTACTTATATTTATTTTGTCTTTGTGTTTTTTTAGGTCATCAAGGAAAATGAAAAAAAGGAAAGGCTAAAGACCAAAAACGATTACGATACTAAAAGTCGGAAACTTCAACTTACCAATTCAAAGCCAACACCCAATTTACTTCATCGAACTCCAACTAAACAGTCTGTTAATAATACTCCTGCTTCGGGTGTTAAATCATCTTGCGATATGCAACGTCGATTGCAAACATCAACTAAACCATTGTCACCAGTTAATCGTGAATTAAGATCAACTCGACCTCGAACTCAAGTTCAACGTTTAGGTGTTGAAAATAGATGTAACTCAAGTGACAGAAGACGAGCAACTCCGGGCGGTGGAAGTATAAAGACAACTCCAAGTATTCCCACCATTGTTTACGGTGGTGTAGCTAAAAGTGTTGGTCTTGATCAATTGATTGACGAAGATCGATTCAGAGTAAGTAAGAAAAAATCAACCAAGTGTTAAATTTTTCCCAAGCGGATTGATTAATCTTTTAATATCTTGATTATCGTTCATTTTTAGGCTCTCCTTCAAGATCGTAAACATGAAACACTCGAAAGCACCGGTTTGTCCAAAAAGGTTAATATACTTTTCTTTATTTATATAACAACAAACGTCTTTACCCTTAATTGTCTCGTTAAAATTAATGTTTAACTTTTTTTTCTGTCCATTATACTTTAATTTAGACTTTTGTATATTTCCAACAGAGTCGAGATAATTCACCAGTAAATCAAACTCTCCGAGACAATCATTCGAAAATTGTTCCAAGTTCAGGATATGGAACATTGAATAGAAGGAAAAGTCGCTCATATACTGTTCTCTCTCTTAAAAATGTCGGCGATTTCGATGAGCCCTTGTATCGACCAACATCACCAAAGTTAACTAGATGGGGATCAGCCCAATCTGTAAAAAGCAACAAAAGTTTAAGGAACGGTGTCTTCTCACCAAGGCCACCTTTCCGTCCTTAATCAACAACCGATCAACTTAAAAACCAAATGACAAATCAAATTGAACTTAACCTGATCAAGGATCACTTTTGCTTTCATTTTGAATTTTCTATTTCCACTTTAAAACAAACAAACACTACCGGTCAAGTCAAAGTTTCCAAAAGGCCTAAAGCAAATCACCAATTAGACCTGTTTCACGATCTCTGCTGAGAGATGCATCATTCATCCTTAACAATTTATTTACTCAATTTTTTTCTTCAACTTTGATCTTGACGAACAAACAAAACCCACTGTTGGCTCATTGAACAAAACTCAGGCCAAAACATTTCCGCCTCCAAATCCGATCCTCTTCGATATTGCATATTACTTCCGTTTCCATATATATTTTTAACAGAAAGTTTTTGATTCTTAATAATCCTTTATACTCACTAATTCTCTCTCTCTCTCTCTCTATCTTTATATTATTATAACTTCTTATTATTTGTATCATTTTCTCATCTTGTAAATTTGTCTCCATACAAAGACGTTGAGCAAACTCAATTACATTAAAAAGAGTTTATTCTATTGGTCAAATTAACTTAATTACCGATGAAACTTGTTTATTTGAAATGGTGATTATGATTCATTTTTAAGGAGAAGATATTAAATTGTTGTCATGATGAAAGCGATTTAATGACAATTTTATTGATGAATTTAACAAAAGGTGAAGAAGAAAATAAAGAGGAATTAGTTGATTGTTTTGTTGTTGTTTCTTTGTTGCAATTAATTGTTGATTGTTTTCCAAAAAAAAAGAAAAGGCTCTTCAATTGTCGTAATCATCATCTTCTACTTGTTGATTAAGAGCTATAGTAAATGAATTAATTTGATTGTGTAGAGGTGGATTATTAGGCTGTGCTCTTGAAGCATTTGAGCTTGAATCATCACAGGAACTTCCCTCATCGTCTTCGTCTGTTGTATCATAATCGTCGTCCTCATCCCGTCGAGATCGATTTGATTTGTTTACATTTCTAGTTCTCTCATTAATCTAAGAAGAAAATGAATTAGAAATCAATTAGAAAAATGATTATTTCGCAAAATAAAGGAAATCGATGATTTTTAGATTCGCTTGAGAAAATTGATCTGATTTCTTGTGGCGGTCATTTAAAGTGAAAACAATGGTCACAATTATTGAGATTGAGAAAGAGATTTTTGGATTTTTGATTATCTTCTTCTTCTTCTTCTTCTTTCTGGTTGAATTTAAGACAGAAAATCTAAATATCATCAGTCGAATTAGATAAGGAAAAATTTGAATTACATCGTTTTCTTCATCATAATCACCATCCTCTTCATCCTCCTGGGATCTTGAAGAGGTAACGTTTACTTTTCTTGGTCTACCACGACCTCTACTTGTTGTAACACGTGAAAAACAAGAATTGGTACTTCTAGTGGATCGATTGGTTGTTGATACTTGTCGAGTTAAATTGGAACCTGAAAATGAGATGGACCCGGTGGCAGCAACACCGGTACCGGTGGTAGTGGGTAAAGTGGTCGTTATGGTGGTGTTGATGATGGAGTTGGTGTTGGTGTTGGTGGCAGCAGTAGTAGCAGCAGCTGATGTTATTGATGATGATGATGATGGTATAATTATCGATGGTGATGATGTAATTAATGAGCTTGATGAGATTGGGTGGTGAGAATGAGAATGGAGAGAATGATGATGATGATGATGGTGACCTGAGGTTGATCCTTGAATAGAATGAGCATAATTGTTATTACCGGTTGAACTGTTACCATCACTATGTTCACCATCTTCACCAACACTTTGAATGTCCGGTATGGTTGATACAAATTCTCTTAGAAATGAAAATTGACTATTTGATGTTATACAAGCTTTCAGGTGAGATGGAGTTAATGTCCGAGCATTTCGAGATTTAGTTATTTTACTTGATTCGGTTAACAGGGATTCGACAAACAGTTCAAGAGCTCTCGATATAATCAATGGTACAACAGCAGCGACCTTACCAACCTCTTCATCTGCTTGCATTATCTTTTTAATTCTTGCTGGAGGGAATCGACAGTTATACTTTTTCTTCTTATTAGACATTCCAATTAATTAATTAAATAGATATAAATGTTGATAATTTCTCTATGGAAAAATATAAAGATGATTATTGTTAATTGTTACTCTTTTTGTTTGTTTGTTTTTTTTTCTTTCGTTGAAGCCAACACAATAACGGTTCACAAATAAATGGACACCAAGCGACACAAAAGATGCCGTAACAGTCAGTAGATTGAGCAGAAAAAACTCAATTAAAAGATGAACAAATAATTAACCCCACAATTTAAATCCACTGTTAATTTAAAAACTTGCTAATCAAACTAAACATAAACAAATTAGAAAAAAAAATTTTCTCAAAAAAAAACATATGACTGATTAGTTGTTCCAATGGTCGCTAGATGGCAGCACAGAAAAGAAATTCAAATTTTTTCGTTGAAAAATTTTCGCTTAGAAAGTAAGCCAATAGGTGTCGCTAGTAGAGTTGGAAAATTTTCTCAACAATTAACTTTAATTGTGAAGGAAAAGTAAATTGTCAACGTGAAACAATTTACTTTTTTTCCCTATATCATCTGAATTGAAGCAATTAATTAAATGTGTAATTAAGATGTAATTAAGATCATTTCCTTGTAAGTAAATGAAACTAATTGTTTACACAGAAAATTCAATAAAAAAAAACGAGACTTTGATTAATTAACAGCAATTAAAAGTAATCATCTCCTAGAAACTGGAGGAAAAATTTAGACAATCAAATTAATACTGGAAAAAAAATGAAGTGATAATTAGTTGTGATCATAATTAGATTACCTGATTTGTAGTAATTATAAGTAGATGTTAATATTAATTGTGATTACATCATAAAGATAAAATTATTGTTATTACAATCAATTGATTTGGTTTAAATTTCATATTAATTGGTTGTATCCCGACCAATTAATTCAACTCAATTGGGCAAATAATTTAATTTATAACGAGAAATTGTCAATGTGTCAAAACTAATCAACTAATTACATTTAAATTGTGACTGTGGTTGACAAGTTAACAGTTTTTTCATGTTTTAATCAAATTGTTAATATAATTCAATTGTCACTATCAGAGTATCATTGGTGATTTAAATTGGTTCAAAATGATTTACTCCAATTTATCTGGCAAAAAAAAAGTTAATTGTTAACAAGTGCAATCAATTAAAATGCTAATTAAAGTGATTCCTTGTTAAATGTGTTACAAATTAGGATTTACAATTTAATTGATCAATTAAGTTTTAATTTAGTTTTCAAAAACAAAACAGATCATTGATTTTTGATTAATTGTTGATTAATAATCAAATTACAATCACGATTTAAAAGGTAAAACGTAATTCTCATGTAATATTTAGTTAATTGTACATGGAAACAAAGAAAACTTTTAATCCAATTATCAAGTTTTGGGTAACAATTAAGGTAAATAATGTTTTCTCAAACAATTAAAACAATTAAATGTTCATGATATTGTTAATAATAATTATCATTATTATTAATGATCTGACCTGAAATTAACAACAACAATTAACTTTTGATAAAACACACCTAAGGAAATGATTAACTGAAAGTATTATCATGAAGTTAATTTAATTGTCAGAAAAACAAAACAATTTGATTGGAAAACAACAATCAAATCAAATTGTGATAAATTAACAATCAAAGTCAATCAAAAGAGTTGATCAGTTTTAAAGATACAACCAAGTTAATCTCATTAACCAAACAATTGACAATTAAATGAACCAATTGATTATCATATTAGACTGACCAACTCATTCTGATTAACAATTAATCTTTAACAATTAACTAATTCATTTTCAACAATCAATCTGAAGATTCAATTTAACTGTAATTTTAGCAATAAAAAAAACAACAGAAAACAAAACAAAACCAATTGAGCACAAAAAGTTACATCGATTTGCCATTAAATTGAAATTAACTGACAATTGATTAATTGTTATGTTTATTTAATCATCTCCATCAGTAGTGAGAGGAAGATAAATGTTAATTTCATCATCAATTCCTACGAGTGAGTGAGTTTATCCTTTTCCTGTAGGAAAAAGGAGGTAACCTAACAATCTGATTGGCTGAAAACTTTTGGGGTGGAATTAGTTTCCAACCTATAATAACGGACCAGGAGGGTTTGTCCAGCCTGGAAACTTTGCTTCTTCACTTTCTAACACATCATCATCACTTCATCTTCCTCATCCTCATCCTCATCATCATCACATTAGCGTATTAACCATCAGTTTCAACCACAGTCAACAAAAGGCAACATTAACTCAACATCATTTTCTCGTGTTAATAATCAACTACGTGTTTAGAATTCGATTTTTTTTTGTTCGTGCGAATTTTTTTTTGTCTTATTCCCTCTTTCGAATGGATTTTTACCCCTCTAACTAAACAATCGTGATTCGTTGAAAGGTCATTTCACTTTGGACGTTTTACTCTTTCAATTCGATTGACGAACTTTTTTTCTCGTTTTCGTTTGAGTTTGAGTTCGAGTTCGAGTGTTAAACTTTTTTCTTCAACTGTTTCGGTTTTACTTTTTGTCTTATTCGTTTGGAATGGAAAGTAAAATGTCGTCGATTCGACCTTATCCAGTTCCATCATTCGATCAATATCAACAACCTTCATGGGAGGAACTTTTCTTAAAGCTGAAAGCTCATCTATCCAAACGGTCAGTTGAACAGTTTCATGAAGTACCAATAAATTATGACTCTCCGACTGACCTATCAAAAGAATCATATAATTTATCATCAGTCGGTTTGATTCCCGGTAAAACGGGACTGATTGATTTCAACGGATTTCCATACATTATGCCAGTTCCAACGGATCCTCGACCTTTTTATTCATTATTTCATTTAGGACAGAAATTGGGTAAGAACTTTTCCATCAAGTTCCAAAGGTTCAAGTTCGAATAATATTTCGAATTTTCTTTTCATTTTCTCAACCGTTTCCGTTTCTTTCTAGTTCTTAGTAATCCTGGTTACAATTTAGTTCCAACCACAATTAACCCTGAAACCATTGACACCGGTGGTGAAGAGTCAAATAGTCAAGGAAGCTCATTGATCAAAGAAGATGAAGTTAACAGTGATTCTAGTCCAAAATTACAATCAAGTCCTAATCAATTGACCATCAATCCAAATTCATTGAATCTCACCAATCAACAAATTGTATTCGCTAATCGTCATCATCACCATCCTCATCATCCTTCTCATCTTAATACTCTTGTTAATCATCCACTTCATCATCATCATCATATTACCAATGCTGGACTTTTATCTCCATCATCGTCATTAATAACCAAAGAGAATATTAAATCCCCACCGATTAACATTAATTCAGTTTCACCGAATCTTTGTCTTGGATCAACTGGTGATTTACCGAAACAGTCCAACGATGAAAGTTTAACTAATTTACGTTCTGGTGAAAGTTTAAAGCGAAGCTTTAAATCAGATGATGAAGATGATGATGAGGAAGATGACGATGACCCTAAGGGAAGTGGTGGACAGTCGAGTAGACGTCGACGGACCGCTTTCAATTCTGAGCAACTTCTTGAATTGGAACGGGAATTTCATGCGAAAAAATATCTTTCGCTAACTGAAAGAGCTCATCTTGCTCATAATCTTCAATTATCAGAATCTCAAGTGAAAATTTGGTTCCAAAATCGTCGAGCCAAATGGAAACGAGTTAAAGGTCAACGTTTGGGTACCGTTAACGCATCTCAATCAACTGGACATAAAATTCATGTTCCAATTCCGGTTCATGTCAATCGAATGCAAATTCGAGCTCAACATCAGCAATACGAGAAAAGGTAAATAAGCAAATTAACTAATCAACTAATCGTTAATCTTTCATCCACTCTTTGGATATAAGATTATCATCTACAAATAATAGTGATTCAAATCAAAAAGCTAAGATCAAATTAATAACAACATGAGAGAGACGATGATGTAACTGATATTATATATAAATGTTGTTTCTTATTGAAATTGAAGGTTAATTTTGTGTGAAAGCCTCGCTAATTATATACAGATGATCGTTAATTGTTTGTGATATTTTGAAGATTATGATCATTATTACATCTCCCACCGCCATTGCCTCCTCTTCCTCCTCCTTCTCATCTTGATAATCTTTCAATTCTCTCTCTCTCTCTCTCTCTCTCTCTCTCAAATATATTTGAGCTTTGTTGCCGCAAGTTAATGAGAGAGGGAGATATAAACTGACCAGGGGCCAAGTTTTTCCAACTCTGGTTAAAACAATTTCCACCATAATAATGATAATAATGAGAGAGGATATGAGAGAGGTGTTATGTATACACGTTTAACCGAGTACCTGATGCCCGCACCCAAGCCCCTTAAATTTTCTCACTCATCATCATCAATTCTTGTTTCTCTTATAACGTGATTTAAAACCTTTGATTTACTGAAAGGTAAGAAAAAAAAGAGAAACAAAATAAACCTTGAGGGCGCCTATTTACCCACACGGACAATCCCCTTTACCTTAAGAAACTGTAAGAAAATAACAAACACCAAAGATTAACTAACAAGTAAGAAACCAACGTCCATCAACTTATCGTATTAATACCTTTCCGCTCCTTTTTACCAATTTCTTAGCACTAATTACGTGCCAACAGAGTGAGAAAAGATTCAAGTTATAATTCATGTAAGAGAGAGAGAGAGAAACAAATGACCCCCGAGAGAAAAAAAAGAAAAGAGCAAAATCTTATTCACCTTTAGCCTATTCTCTTTTTCATCTCTCTCTCTCTCTCTCTCTCTCTCTCTTCTCTTCTCTTCTCTTCTCTTTCATCGTCGTCATCATTTACCTATCGCCTTGAATCTTGTTGCGTTCTCATTGCTGTTACCTTATCGTGCTAAACTCACGCCGTGCTAAGGTGTTAAAGCAGGTGAGAAACCACAAGAGAGGCGTGAATATCATTGGTAAAAATTTTGTTCTTTTTTTTGAAAAAAATTCTTTTTTCTTTTTAGTTTATTGATGATTATTATTACCTTATTAATACGATGATATCTTCTTATTGTCATCACCTATTCATTGTATTCATTACTGTTGACTGATGAAAAGGACAATCAACAACAGAGCGATGATGATGATGATTACCATTGAAGAGTAAAAACTTTTTTGAATCGAGAAAAAGTTTTTTTTTTCATCTCTTATCTAAATATGATGATGATGATGATGGACAATCTACTTGACCATTTGTCTAAATTAGCATGTTTCATATTTGAAATTTGAAGTCCAATTGATTGTTGGATTTGTCAGTTACGGTTAATCAACAGGATTAACTATGCTGACAAATCGTAATTGTGTTTAAATTGTTATCAAATTTATCCAACAAACAGTATTTCATTCACTGATCATAACAATTTATCAAAGTAAACACAAACAATCAAGCAAATTGTTTAATCACAATAATTTACCGTGATAATTGTTTGAATAAAATATAATAAAATTATCAGACAATTAATTAATTGCTGAGAAAAATAAAATACTCACTTTATATACTTATCAAGGTAAACAATTTTTTTGACAATTTGATTGTTTATCTTGATTGTTACAAGTTATTAAATTGATTGTGTGATCAAAAATTGTTATGTTAATCATTAAATTATCAAAATAATTAAAATAACCAATGTTTAATTGGTGTGGTATTTAATTGTTGTTGTTGTTGTTGGTGAATTATAATTAACTGGTTAACAAAGTGATGATTAACTTGGGAGCATCATCAACAATTTGATTTAATTGTTTCAACAATCAAAGTATATCAATTGCCGATCCTTAATTTGATTGAAAATCAAATGAAAGTTTAATAAATTGTTGTATAAGATTTACAATCAAACAATTAACTTTGATTTTCTTCATACACAAACATTGAAAGTGTAACAATTTAAACTCATTTAATTTAATTGCTTAGATGAACAATTTTTCAATCATTAACCTAAAGTTTCATTCTGGATTTAAATTTTATTTAAAGTAGTTAATCAAACAATCAAATTAAATCATCATGATTAAGGTGACAAGGTAACTTTTTAATGACAAGTTTTCATACAATAACAATTAAACAAATTAATTAAACTGACATTGAAAGTTAATTAATATTCATTTGTTAATTGTTCTCGGTCAACTTGGATTGACAATTAGTATCCAAGTAAACAAAAACTGAACAATTAACTAAATTGTTTCGTTAATTGTTTTTGCTAAGTTATTAGATGAACAGAATGTTAATTATCACATGAAAACCTTTTAATCAAATTAATGAATTAGCTTTGATTAATTAATTATTATCCTTTCATTACAAGATGATAGTGACAACAATTAACCTTAATATGAATGAGATAATGATGACAATTAATCAATCACAATAACTAAATCAACAACAAATAATCAATTTCTCAGTACAAAGATTTGATTGTTGATTATCTGATTGAACATTTATCATTAATTGTTAATTGTTTCAAGATTTAGGATAATTTGAACCTTTTTGATTGTCTCAAGTTAATTAAGATCATTAAATAGCCGTTAATTAGTGTTTAAGGTAAACGGGTCATTCCCTAAATTGTTAATCAAAGCTAATTAACAGCTAACAGGTTTCTGATTAACAAACACAGTAGATTAACAATGTTTAGGTTGATTAGTTGATTTCAGTGAATTAATTTTGATTGTATTAATGAGAGAGAAACAAAAAAAAGTTAATTAAAAACAACAACAACAACAATTTAAGGAGCAGGGATTAGATTAATAATTAGATGAGGAATCACTTTCATCCTCTAAACACAATTAACTTTAAGTAAATCCTATTATCTTAATTCATTAACTGTGTTTATCATTAGCAAGATAATTAATTTTTGGCTCTTTCTAGTTAATCATGATTGTTAATTATAATTATCATTTGAATCTTGTCCTAATTCAATAGATATGATTATTGGTTATAACCAAATTACTTGTTAATCAGATTAGATTTAAATTTTTCATGGTCTTAATTGTGACAAGTATATCAAATCAATCTGACACTTTGATCAAATGATAATCAATAATTGTAATAATCATAATTAACATAATTGTTATAATAAAATATTAAATCATTACTATAACTGATTGTTGCTATTATAATTATCCAATCAATCAATTTATATATAATTTCAATAATTAAATTAACATTGATTTGAGGATAAATTAAGTGTTCCAAATGATTAACAATAGATTTTGATTACTAATTGAAATTGATTATCATTATGATTTAAGAGATAATTGTCACTTAGCTGAATTAATTAGATGAAAGTAATTGAAGCAGAAAGGAAATAAAAATCAACACAATCTAATCTAATTGTGATTGGAGTTAATCATTGATGTGAACTTTGATTAAGAGAACAAAAAAAAAGTTCTGAATTACTGAGAATCGTTTTGGTGAGTTTATCGATTGTTCAACAATTTGATTAACTCTTAAATTAACATAATGATGATCTGATTTAATGAGAGTTTACACCACCAACACCCTATATGTGAATTCCTATTGACATAAATATACATTAAACCGATGGAGGAGGTTGAAGAGGAGGAGGTGGTGAGAGAGGAGGTGGAGGTGGGATGAAAAAAGTCCCACCAGTTTGAAGTAAAAGACTCAAAGAAGGCGGAATAAGTTATCGATACTTTTTTTTGTTATCTCTCCATGTAAGTGACTGTAAATGTCACAGTGTGTTCAGAATCCTCCCACCTTCATCCCTTGTATCATCATCCTCATCATCATTTCCACCTCCTTCTTTCTGTTTCCTTCATTGATTTCCTCTCTCTCTCTCTCTCTCTCTCTCTCTCTCTCTCTCTCTCTCTCTCTCTCTCTCTCTCTACGCCCTATCACCACCCTCGACAATTTCAATTCTGTCTCTTTACATTCCTATCCAATTTCACCCTGAAAGTGAATCAATTTCAATTATGAAGAAGAAAAAACAAAATGATTCCAACACTGAATCTGAATGATGATAAAAATATGATGATAAATCCGTAGAAAGAGGAGGGCAAGATGATAATGACGACGATGAGAAGTGGAAAATAATGAAAAATGTCAACACAATTTCCAAACCATTGGATTTGTCCATAGATTTTCCCAAAGATGAACAAAAAAAAAAGTTTCTCGATTGTATCAAATTGGATTAAATTTTATCTCCTTGTGTTTATTATCTTGTTTACATGAATGATAATATTCACAGAGAGTGGTAATCATTTGATTCCTTTTGCTTATTGTTACTTCATGTTATCCTTTTAATCAATACCTTGTCACAACAAACCCACAACAATTTACAAACTATCAACAATTAAGGTATTACAATAACAACAAGAAAACATTGATTCATTCACCACAGGAATTAGACAAATTTTTCAATTCTATTGATAAACTAATGGGCAACAAAATGAACAACAATCAAGCCACAGACAAGAAAAGATTACAAATCATATTTTACCTTTTACATGAGGGTCACTCCTCCCTATTAACATTCACAACTTGACCACCTCACCTTTTGTCACGTGACAATTTTCTTAGGATTGGCTCTCTGTCTATCATCATCATCATCATCATCATCATCATCATTATCATCTTATCTACATTGTATCTTAGCTTGTGAAAGAAAAAAAAAGAGAAGCAACTAGAAAAATGTAGCATAAGATGGGAGGTGATGAAGAAGATGATGATAATAATGATGCTGATCATCATCATCATGATGAGGATGAAAAGAGAAACTACTCAGCAGGGGGGAGGAAGGAAGATAAAAGAAGAAGATGATAATGAAAGAGAGACATTGACGTAAAAATGTACAAATAACGTTCATCTCCCATTGAGGTGGATCCACGGAAATGGTTTTCTATCCCTTTTCCTTATCTCCATCATCATCATTTTCTCCTCCTCTTTTTTTTTATCTTCCTCATCATCATCATCACCATTATTATCATTACCATGTCATCTTTGATTATCATTATCCCATTGGTATTGTTACAATGAACAATTTTTTGCTCATCTCTTTTATATTTGTTGGGTAAATCTTTTCAAGATGAATTCTAATCTGGGAAAATGTCAGATCAGCTCACCAAGTTAATCCATATCCTAGTCTGTTAATAACAATTATCAGCTTATTGTTAAAAATTACCATAGGTATTAGGATAATAATAATAACATTGGAAACCTTTTCTTTACTCTGTCAGATTATCACAATTGAAATACACAAAGTAATCAATTGATGGGTAACTGTTGACTTTACAATAATAATAATAATAATACATAATAACAGTGTTAATGATACATAATGATGATTATCATACAAGATAATTGTTGGTTAAAAAAGTCTTAATCCTTATCCTATTCTTATGTTAACCCCTCTCTCTCTCTCCCTTTGAAATGTTGTCAATTTTTGTTTTAATCACAAATTTCAAAGGAAACTTGATAATCCCAAACAATCAACTGGTCAGTATTTCCTACAGTGTCCAGTTTCTCATTCAATAATAACTGTTAACACCTTTTTGACTTTCCAATGCTAATCCTCATCTCCTCTCTTTTATTGTCATTTAAACCGATTAACCAGCAATTGATTATGATTATGATTAGGATAATGATGATCATGTTGATCCTCAAGTTACGCCTTCACCTTGACATGACTTGTTATTTGAATCTCTGTGGTTTAGTTTGTGGTGATTTACAAGTTTCGAACTTTTTTTTCTCTTCCTAATCCATTTCATACTTTTCCATTCACATTTTCCCATCAATGGCACTTTTTTGACATTAAATTACAATAGTTTCTTTCATATTTAACACAATTACAAATCCATTGTTGTAAGTGTGTATGTGTGTGTGTGTGTGTCTATGTAGTTAAATACACATTGATAACCATAAAAGTCTAATTGTTTGAAAGAGTTTCAATTTCTGTGATTTAATAATTGCCCTTAAGGTAAAATCTAAGTTTTCATTTTGATTTGATTGTTTAACTATTAATAGTTTGATGATAATTGAATCTACAAACCTATGGATCATTAAATTGGTATCAATTTTATCACCTTACAATCAACAGTGATTAATAAATTATTTAGTATTACAAAGAAAAACTTATGATATGATTAAAATTGGTTTCGCCTCGAGATTAAATTATAATCATCATCATCATGATCATGATGATGATAATGATGATAATCAGCTTTTGTTTCATATGATAATCACTTTTGGGTGTGACTCTTGAGATCCATTTATTATGAGGTTAAGAGAGAGAAAAACAATTACGATGTTAATTGTTGTTTGGTAGATGATGAATTAAATTAGAGTTAAATTATTATCATGAGAGAGATTGATGATCATTTCAATTTGCATATAATCAAACCTAATTAAGAGCTTTTAATTAATCAATTAGCTTTTTAACAAGATGATAATGATAGTGATGATGAAAAGTAAATCAGATTGGACATTTTTTTTTCTTCTATTGATATTGAATCAAAATGATTAAAATGATTAGTGATTATGGTCAACATACAATCAAATAAAGTGTAAAGAGTTGACCAGTGACAATAAATGGGTTGGATGAATGACCAAATACTGACCAACCTCCATGTGAATATGAAAAAGTTTATTAAGATGATTGAATCTATTGTGATGAAATATAATATAATCAATTGATTATCATTACCAATCAATTGTGTTTCTAATGTGTAACTTACTGATTACTGGTCATCTAATATGTTGTATTTTTCTTATGTCCAGTGCATCTCGATTTCATGGATTAAACTGTTCAATCAATGGTCTTCCAGTTAACGGACCAACTGGACTTAATGGATCGGTCTTAAGTCCAAGTGGAGCTAATCCAACATTGGGAGTCAATGGGTCCAGTTTATTTATTCAAGCGACAACTAATAACCACAACAACAACAATACTAATCAAAATGTGAATCAAGTTAATCACAACAACAACAATAATAATAATAAAATCAATGTTATCAATCCTGTTAATACAAATAATAATAATCAAAGTAACACTATTAATCCTGTGAATACAAATGCTAACATTGAAAACATTGTTAATCCAAATTCACTGACCAAATGGACTAATACTATCTCACCAATATCATCTTCATCTTCATCCTCCGCATCATCTGTATCATCATTATCACCTTTATCCTCATCATCATGATCATCAATGATTGTAATCAAGCGTTAATTATGTAATTAACAGAAAAACAAAAGTAAATAAAGAAATCATTTTGACTTTTTCTTTTCCCTCTTGAAATTAAACAATATCAGAATCACAATTTAATCAATATTATCGGATTAATTTGGATAATATTTTGTGTCATTTTTTGAGGTAAAAGTTTCTCATCAACTAATCATGATTGTTAAATTATCATTTGTCTAAATCACTCCAAGGATAATCATCAACTCTCACCAGGAGGTTAGTTAACTTAATTGTAATCAAATTGATTTACCATGAAACATATTAACTAGGTGAGGTTATATATCTATAAGATTAACAGAAAGTATCAATATTTATCCAGGTAAGTAAAATAATAACATTCACCAAGTGGGTATGCAAAAAAAAAAGGTGAGAGATTATCTCAAGATTTGGATTGATGATTTAAAGAAAGATTAAAATTAGCAATGATTGATAAGCGTGGATAACATTGTGATAACAACACGATAACTTTTGACAGTAAAAACGTTGGCGAATCCAAAATAATAATAATAATAATAGTTACTCTTAATTGTCTGAGAATTAAGTTAATTCTAATCAATATGCAACAATCAAGTTATCCTAATCATCTTTTATATTATAAAAAAACTTATCACTTTAATTCATTTGGATCACTCATCGTTAATTGTGATCATATTATTTGATTACAATTCAACATTTGGTAGTTTTGGAGGCTTGTTGATTGTTCACTTTACTTTGATAATCTAATACATGTACAGGGTGATTGAACTGGACCCTTCGGACTTTAAATTCGAATAACTTTTTGATAGAAATTTATTCAGTCTTTTGTTTCAAGATCGATATTAATTGACATTTAGAAAATAAGTTAGGTCACTTAGATCAATAAAATATCTAAAGGTACTATTTTTACAGAGTCTTTTTTCACATCGTGATTATTTCAAGTTTTTTGCACTAAAAATGCAGTAGAACTCGTAAAAATTTGATCAACAATTAAAATCAATATTCATGTTAAAGAATGTTTTATGGGCTACAATATGTATATTCTGATTTTTTTTTGTGCTGAGTTGTTTGAGCTAAAATCAATTTTGAACGATTCAACCTCTAGGTAGCTGAGCACTTTTGTTAAAGATTTTATCCGTTGAAAGAAGGTGCGTTTGTTCAATCATTTCGATTTTTTGCAATAAATCATAACTGAAAAATTACAGTTTTACCTAATTAACTATTTTAGACTTTAAGCTTTCAAATGATATAAAATTCAAAAAAAAATTCTAAGAAATAAAAAAGTTATTAAAGTTTAAAGTCCGAAGGGTCCAGCTCAATCACCCAGTACATGTAATGGTGGAAAGACAGAGATTTAATATCATTAGATTATCCTCAAGGTTAATCCATTTATATTTATCCAAATTCATTTTCTCGCCAATGATAAAATTCAAGATCCGGGATAAGATTTGATTCTTTAAGCTTGAAGGATCAAAGGTCCTTAATTAAAGTGTAAGAGTTTGTTATTAGTGATGAAGGTTAATCTGTATTTGGGTGTAATCGTCAATATCATCAGCTTGTTGTAGATTTGATGATTAACTACAATTAACTGAGAGAGAGAGAGTCGATATTAGCAATTTCTCTCCCTCTCTTCTTAGCGGAGCGGGAATCTAATGGCCTAGAAAAATAAAGTTGACCCACCGCGAAAGTGAGACTAACATTTAATCATCATTCTTACGCCTCCTTCCCAATAGATTTAAGATTTGGGATTAGCAACAATCTTATATTACATAGATAGTGATTAGATTGATGACCAGGGATTAAGGTGGTAATCATAATGATAATCATTCACCTTGTTTTTTTTGCTGTTGTCATAATTGCTAGTAAATTGTTATATAGTGATAATATTAATAACAATTAGAAAAGGTAAAAACAAAATATCAACAAGGTAAAAGTTTTGTTGGTTTTGTTTTTCTGTAAACTTAAATTACCCTTGATGTTTATTTCACAATAAATGATTTTTTAATTGATTAGTGTGTTGAAGATGGGCGGAGGTGCAAAGATAATCATCCACCGTGGTGATCAAGTAACAGCAGAGTGGCAGAGGTGTGTATGTATGTGTGTGTGTGTGGGGGTAGAGCGATTGGATTAGCTAACTAACGATTCTCACTCTTTGACCTAGAAATTTACTCAGCCCGAAGTTAGTAAATTACAAATCCTAAGCTAAACGATTCTCAATGATAGTGATTATGGTAATCGTTTAATAATAATAGGGACACTTTTTTTTCGTGACAATAATTAGATTTGATTGTATGTGTGTGGCACTTGATTGTTGTTGTTTGATCAACAACCATGGGAATGATTATCTTGTTGATTATCATGAGCAATTGACAAATAATATCACATTTTCAAGACACACTTTTCCCATGAAGATGATGATGATAATAATGATGATAGATTATCATCATATCTTTGATAATATTAGTTTAGAAAGTTTTTTTTTTCGAAAAAAAAATTAAATTCGATTATGTTTAAATTTAGAAAGATCAGCAAATTCATCACTATTATCATCATACAATGGTCATTATCATGGTCAGTAGTTTATTAGATTAATCTAACAATCAACAATTCCCATTGATAATCAAGTCTAGTTGATCATTGGTTGAACTTTTCCAATGTTTCATTTGATTCAGAGAAACTTTTTTTTTTGTTCACAAGACTTTTGATTTCATTGGTCATCTTATTGATTACAATTGGGTGGAGATTCATCAGGAATTGACCATTTCCGTTATCATTGTCGGTGGATAAATAATATATATAAGTAGGAGTGGATTCATTGAGAGAGAGAGAGAGAGGCTGAAATGAAAGACTAACATGAAATGTAATCAATGAAGTTAATGTTTAATGACAAGGGCTGATGATGACGATGATGATGATGACCACTGACCACTGGACATCCTTTATATTATCCACTTTGTATCAAACTTTTTTTCTGCTTCCTCCTTGTCAAGTTAATCTTGTCACTCTCTTGGATTATAATGTTACCCTTTGATAACAATTCTGACAGATTAAGTGATTCACTTTGATTTGATTATTGTAATTAACTTTCAATTGATCGTATCCTTTTTTAAAAGTTACAATTAAAACCAAAGGTGAGAGAGAGAGACTCAATTATATGGCTAATGGTTGATAATTAACTTGATTACCTTTTGATAATCCGGTTAAACTAATCACTAAATAAATATAATCACAATTTAATTTGAGTGATTACATTTAATTGCAACACTTTTCAATCATAATCTAATCAAATGATATATATCATTTTGTTTAAATTGTTCAATTATAATGATTACAACAATTTCCTTGATCATTTAAATTTTAATAATAATAACAATCAATTAAACTAATATTTTGATTCTTGTTTAAGTTTTAAGAATCAGGAAATTTTAATTCCGATTGATTGTTTTTGGTTAATTGTTGATAATCAACCATTAAATTATTGATTGCCTTACGGTGATTGATATTTAATTACATTACCAAAGACAATTAAGAGCCATTATCGTTAACAGGTTTTCAATGTGAAGTCAATTGTCCAGTTAGTTAATCAATATTAACAACAATTAACTTTGTAAAAAAAAAATTAAATTTTACCCTTAAGGTTTTTAATGATAATTAAAAAATGATCATTCAAATTATCACAATTTAATTATCAATTTTATAATATTTATATAAAATAATGTGATTAACTTTTAAATTGTTTACTTATTCATGTAATCAACAATCAACACAACAACAACAACAACAATTAAATGGTGATGATAATGATTAATAAATTGTTGAGGTGAAAATTGTAAGCAACAAGGTATTGACAGGGTAACTAAATTAACTTAAATTGTGACTGGATAAACAATCATTAATCAATATCCAGACAAAACAATTAACCCAAAGATTAGAAACAAGGTAAACACAATCAACTCAGGTTAATTACCACAATTAATAAATCAAGAAGCATAAAGCAAAAAGTGATTAATACATTGGATTAACAGGTTAATCTATTGGATATTTTTTCATTCTGTTTCCAACAAAAAAAAAACAATTTCCTCATCTCAGATGATTAAGAAAACGGTTAATTTGATATTCTTGATTGTTGGTGATTAAGAAAGAAAATAAAATTAATGAAAGAGTAAATAATGAACCAGTGCGAATATGTAAAAAGAAACAAAAGTTGATTGTCTTTGATTGTTGAGGCCAATTAAGGTTTAGGCACAATTAACACGCCTTTCACATTCTCAGTGAACAATTTGATGGTTAATTGTTGATCGTTGGATTGTTATTATTATTTTAATAACAACAATCATTTATGATTATGACGATTACGATGCTTATTTTGCTCACCTCGCTGCTGGGCGTGAGCTTTGGGTGAAGGGTGCTATCTTTGGCACCCTTGGCTCCACAATATAATTTTACCTGTTGATAAAATCAGATAATGGTGATGATAATCATCATCATCATCATGATATACATTGCACCTTAGGGATCAGTATATTATCATTATTATTTTCATATCTCTTGAATTGAAGCTGGTTTAAGATGGAGATGAGGATGAAGATGATGAGGATGAGGCCCAAGTAACTATTTAACGGCAATTACAGACTTTATAATCAGTTCCCGGGATCAGAGTTTTTAAAGAAGGGAAAGAAAATGATGATTAGAATGGTGATGAAGATGATTATCAGCATGATGATGATGATGATGATTAAGACGATAATGGCTTCTAATCTGTAGAATGTTGATATTCAGGGTTATTCATTTGAATATCTTATTGTTCAATCAAACAATCAACTTTCAATTTATCTGGTTGTAGAAAAAAGTTTCAAATAATGCAAACCGATTGATTGGTTTGTATTGATTTTTAATTGAAAAATTTGATTACTGTATTAGTATTGGAAGCGTTTCGATTATAATTGACTGATAAACTTACATATCAGTGGTTTTAACAGTTAACTGCTTATACGATTATGTCTTCAGGTTAGATAATTGAACAATTGGTTAGTTGATTTTTGATTTTGCAAATAGTAAAAACCATATAATTTACAATTGATTGTAGCTCATAGGAAACGATTGA